AATATCCAGAATGACATAATGGTCAAATCCTGTCTATGATATGCAGTGATTGAAGACCTCCACAAAATAATCCTTTCTTATTTGGGGAGTAAATTTCTCATTTTTCAAGTGTAGTTTGAAGGTACAGTGGGGAGGGAATTACATTTCAAAATAAAAATTAAAAAACATGGTGCACATACAAAGTCAATGCAATTCTGGAAAATGTCCTTTGAGGATAAACTATTTAGCCATAGGAGATGTCACGTAGTATGATTATTAAGGAAGTAGATTCTAGCCTCGAAATGAATTTACATTCCAGCACATCACCTTGCATATCTAATCTCTATGCCCCAGTTTCCTCATCTATAAACCTGAGACCAGATGGGATTATACAGAATATTAAGTGAGATAATAAATAAAAAGCACATAGCACAATGCCAGAAGCACAGTAAGTTCTTATACTTGTTGGCTATGACAATGATAAGCAAATTTATTTTTGTTTTCAGTTGGAACTAAGACTGAAAGATTTTCTTATAGTTTTTCATTTACCATGGATATAGACTCACTATATCACTTAAATACTTAGAAAACTGAGTCTCAAGGAATTTAGGCCTAAAGAAGCTAAAAGACATTGCAATCAGAAATAAGAGTCTGATCCAACGTGTTATGGGCAACTCCATTGCTTTTCTTGACTCCCCTCCCTGACCCACCCTGGTATTTTTGCCCATATTGGTAATTAACAATTGGTAGTTAACAAACCAAATGAACTGCCTCAAAAGGAAAAAAAAATACTAAACTTATCTCTTCCCCCTTATGTTAATTGTGTATATTTCATTTTTAAGCATGATTCTTTGGGGAAAACAGAATATGTTTACTATAGAAAAACACATATTCTTTTAGCCGAGTAATTTTGGAAGCAAAAATGGTCTCCATGGTAAGAAGAAAGAAAAGGAGTAGTATTAATAGAAGGTGGCACCGAGCTAATGTGCATTTTATAGTATAAAGGAAAGAGTTTTTTTAGCCTCCCTGCCTAAAACAACATCATGAACTAGAAGTTATGCTAAATTGGTGAAGAGAATAAAAAGGAACCAGCTACAATATGATTGCTCAGAATCAGAGTCAAGAGCCAGCTCCCAGGAAGCAGCCTGGGACAGCAGAATCCTCTCACTCATGGACACAGAGGCTTAACTGGTCCTCCTAGAGTTTGGAAGAGAGGCTCTGAAAATACTTCTGACCTCTTAGAAGCAGATTTATAGACATATAATAGTGCTTTAATCCTGGCATCCTGATGTTGCCAAAGTAATAGAATACCATGATGGAAAAAAGTCTAATAAGACAATGATTATCTGATGTTCCACTTCTTCTCCAGGTCAGCTTTGGATCCTAACAATCTCTTCTTTTCTCTTAACTCCCTTCACACAATATTTAACGAGGCTTATTTTCCCTTATTTTTTTCCATATCGTCTCCTGGTAGGATCCTTCCTTTCTTCATCCTTCTTCCCTCCCTCCCTTCTTTTCTTCCTTCCTTTCTCTCTTTCTTTTTCTCTTCTTTCTGTTTTTGAATCTCTATAGTGATGCTTTAGGGGTTAACTTTCAGCTCAGTTCAGTCGCTCAGTTGTGTCCAGCTCTTTGAAACCCTATGGACTGCAGCACGCCAGGTCTCCCTGTCCATTACCAATTCCCAGAGCTTACTCAAACTCATGTCCATTGAGTCGGTGATGTCATCCAACCATTTCAACCTTTGTCCTTTCCTTCTCCTCTCACCTTCAATCTTTCCCAGTATCAGGGTCTTTTCCAATGAGTCAGTTATTCACATCAGGTGGCCAAAGTATTGCAGTTTCAGCTTCAGCATCAGTCCTTCCAATGAATATTCAGGACTGATTTCCTTTAGGATGGACTGGATGGATCTCCTTGCTGTCCAAGGGACTCACAAGAGTCTTCTCCAACACCATGGTTCAAAAAGATCAATTCTTTGGCACGCAGTTTTCTTTATGATCTAACTCTCACATCCATACATGACTACTGGAAAAACCATAGCTTTCATTAGCTAGACCTTCATCACAGAAGTAATGTTTCTGCTTTTTAATATGCTGTCTAGATTGGTCATAGATTTTCTTCCAAGGAGCAACCATCTTTTAATTTCATGGGTGCAGTCACCATCTGCAGTGATTTTGGAGCCCAAAAAGATAGTCTCTCACTGTTTCCATCATTTCCCCATCAATTTGCCATGAAATAATGGGGCCAGATGCCATGATCTTAGTTTTCTGAGTTGAGTTTTAAGCCAACTTTTTCACTCTCCTCTTTCACTTTCATCAAGAGGCTCTTTAGTTCTTCTTCACTTTCTGCCATAAGGGTGGTGACATCTGCATATCTGAGGTTGATATTTCTCCTGGCAGTCTTGACTCCAGCTTGTGCTTCATCCACCCTGGCATTTTGCATGATGTACTCTGCATATAAGTTAAATAAGCAGGGTGATAATATGCAGCCTTGACCTACTCCTTTCCCAATTTGGAACCAGTCTGTTGTTCCATGTCCAGTTCTAACTGTTGCTTCTTGACCTGCATACATATTTCTCAGGAGGCAGGTCAGGGGGTCTGGTATTCCCATCTCTTGAAGAATTTTCTACAGTTTGTTGTGATCCACATAGTCAAAGGCTTTGACATAGTCAATAAAGCAGAAGTAGATGTTTTTCTGGAATTCTCTATCTTTTTTGATGATCCAAAGGGTGTTGGCAATTTGATCTCTGGTTCCTCTGCCTTTTCTAAATCAAGCTTGAACATCTGGAAGTTCATGGTTCACATACTGTTGAAGCCTGGCTTGGAGAATTTTGAGCATTACACTCCTAGCATGTGAGATGTGTGCAATTTTACAGTAGTTTGAACACTCTTTGGCATTGCCTTTCTTTGGGATTTGAATGAAAACTGACCTTTTCCAGTTCTGTAGCCACTGCTGAGTTTTCCAAATTTGCTGGCATATTGAGTGCAGCACTTTCAGAGCATCATCTTTTAGGATTTGAAATAGCTCAACTGGCATTCTGTCACATCCACTAGCTTTGTTTGTAGTGATGCTTCCTAAGGCCCACTTGACTTCACATTCCAGGGTGTCTGGCTGTAGGTGAGTGAGCATACCTTCGTGGTTATCTGGGTCATAAAGATATTTTTTGTATAGTTCTTCTGTGTATGCTTGCTACCTCTTCTTAATATCTTCTGCTTCTGTTAGGTCCATACCATTTTTGTCCTTTATTGAGCCCATCTTTGTATGAAATGTTCCTTTGGTATCTCTAATTTTCTTGAAGATATCTCTAGTTTTTCCCATTGTATTGTTTTCCTCTGTTTCTTTGCATTGATCACTGAGGAAGCCATCCTTTTCTCTCCTTGCTATTCTTTGGAATTCTGTGTTCAGATGGGTATGTCTTTTCTTTTCTCCTTTGCCTTTAGCTTCTTTTCTTTTCTCAGCTATTTGTAAGACCTCCTCAGACAACCACTTTACCTTTTAGCATTTCTTTTTCTTGGGGATCGTCTTGATCACTGCCTCCTATACAATGTCATGAACTTCTGTCCATAGTTCTTCAGGCACTCTGTCTATCAGATCTAATCTCTTGAATCTGTTTGTCACTTCCACTGTATAATCATAAGGGATTTGATTTAGGTCATACCTGAATGGTCTAGTGGTTTTCCCTACTTTCTTCAACTGAAGTCTGAATTTGTCAATAAGGAGTTCATGATCTGAGCCACAGTCAGCTCCTGATCTTGTTTTTGCTGACTGTATAGAGCTTCTCCATCTCTGGCCGCAAAGAATATAATCAATCTGATTTCGGTATTGACCATCTGGTGATGTCCATGTGTAGAGTCTTCTCTTGTGTTGTTGGAAGAGGGTGTTTGCTATGACCAGTGCATTCTCTTAGCAAAACTCTGTTAGCCTTTGCCCTGCTTAATTTTGTACTCCAAGGCCAAATTTGCCTGTTATTCCAGGTATTTCTTGACTTCCTACTTTTGCATTCCAGGGGTTAACTTTATGTATCCTTTTTATCTGTTAGAGTTTAAATTTCTTGAGATAATCTACTCTTGTTCCAGACTTGACTCTTCTGTCTGAAGCCTGCACTTGTCCTATATTTTTCTCCTTTTCTGTTCACTTACATAGTCTTACAAAGAGTGATACTTTTGCTATGATCTCTACTGAAGTGAGAAGATACCCATAAAATTAGCATAAAATAATAAATTCTATTTAAAAAATAAACACACCAGAACATAAATATCTATAGGAGCATTGCCCCTTCAAAAAAATTACACTGGTATTCACATAGGCTTTGGGGTTAATTTTAGAACCACTTTATGATCGATCATCACAAACATCATGTGGTGCTGCCTTACCTTGGCTTAATGTTTTATGCAGATCAGTATTACTCACCTAATTCTCCAGTCCTGGCCAAATTTCCTTTTTGATAGTTTCCATAGTTCACATCAGTCCCCTTTTCAAACAAATATAGAGCCTACCCTGAAGACAGTTCTGGAAAAGAATGACAAACATTGTTTTTGAGATGGCAGCATAATTAAACTTTCTATAGTTTTGAAGTCCTTGAGATGAGAAAACTCCCTTTTGGATGATAATGTTCCCTAATTTCTGGGCTTCCCTATGGCTCAGACAGTGGGAAAAAAACTGCCTGTAATGCAGGAGACCCAGACTCAATCCCTGGGTTGGGAAGACCCCTGGAGAAGGGAATGGCAACCCACTCCAGTATTCTTGCCTGGAGAATTTCATTGACAGAGGAGCCTGGTGGTCACATTCCATTGAGTTGCAAAGGGTTGGACACAACTGAGCAACTAGCACTTTTACTTCACTTTTCCTAATTTCTAGTAACAATTGAACTGAATATTTTATAGTCACATCCTAAAAGCCAACTCCAAAATTCTTTTAATTGATTTCAACTATATTCCAGTACATAGTGTACTTAACACTTTTAATCTGTATGTGTGGAAAACATGGTCTTGATAGTAACAATATGTCTGTCTTCTTGTCTCTAGGACTATCCTTGATAAGAAGGAACTACTGGAGTTTGCTCAACTTGGCTGTTACTTGGAATACGATCTCTTTGGTACTGAACTTTTTCATTATCAGTTCAACCCAGATATTGACATGCCCTGTGATAATAAAAGAATTAAAAGGTAAATATGATGAAATCTCTCACAGCATTTCCTCTTACCATTTCTTCCGGATTTTCATATCTGGGTGGGAATTAGTAAAGATTCAGAAAACAATAAGCAGGCAGAACCAGAGACTTGCAAGGGAAAATATATCAATGCTGTTTCAGGAAGGCAAATCTCTATATATTATTTCAAGGAGAAAATGAGTCACCCTAAGTAGGTAAAAGCTTAGCAGAGCCTTAGAAGTTCAGTGCAGATGGGCAGCTGATAAGAAACACAGATAATACTCAATCTCTGCTCTGACAGTAAAAGAACAAAAGACATTTCCCTGTTTCTATTCCTAATGAAGTAAGCTGTTTCTTTCTCAGGTTGATCACACCGAAGTCCTAACCTCCTGCAATGAATTTTTGAAATGTTTATTAAAAATGTTCACTAAAGAGGTAATTGCAACTGAAAGGCTATAACGTCAAACATTATATAGAATCCAACCTCTCAAAATTGTTCAATATTTGTGAGGGAAAACAAATAATTGTAGAAGTCATCCTCTGCACTCAAGTGGAAATTTTTGAGAGTCAAGACTAGATGGTTACCTGGTTTGCCTTGGTTACCTGGTGATATGAAGAATGAATGCACCAAGTTAGGGAACCTGGGAGGTGAAATAGATTTGGGATCGGCAGGATGACTTTAGTTTGGGAATATAGCGTTGCCACCCATGGGGCCATGGGAAAAAGGTGTGAAGATCAGGACAGACTTGGACATGCGGCTAGACGTTGTTGGTTTGCATGTGACAATCAGTAGCGTGGGAATGAATGAGATCACTCCAAGAAGCAAATGAGGACAGAACCCTGGTGACCACCCACATTTAAGGGATGAACTCAGAAACAGTCCCTCAAGGACAGGTTGAGAAATCTTCAAAGCATTAAGAATATCGGGGAAATGCATTGTTATGGAAGTTGGTGAAGAAGGATACTTAAAGCAGAAGGACTTGAACCCTTGTACTAAGTGGCAGATACCAAGAGAGATAAAGATGGAAAAGTATCCATTGGATTTCACCATCAGTAAGTTTTCATTTCACAGTCAGTAAGTGCAGCCTTGGCAGAAAAGGCTTGAGGAAAGACTAGAAAGTGAGGAAGAAGACAGAGAATATGGAGGCTACTCTTTCAAGAAACTTGGTAGTAAAGTGAAGGAGGGTTGCAGGGCTAGAGCTAGAAGACCAGAGAGGGGACTTCCCTCCTGGTCCAGTGTCTAAGACCTGCATGCTGTCACTGCAGAGAGCCCAGTTCAATTCCTGTTCAGAGAACTAGATCCCACATGTTGCAACTAAGAATTTGCATGCCACAACTAAGACCCAGCACAGTCAAATAGATAAATAAGTAAATAAGATAAGTAAATAAATGTGAAAAAAAAAAAGACGACGACCAGACAGGCCAAAGAAAGGTTTTGTTAGGAGACCAAGAGAATGAATCCAGGGACCTGGTGTTTATTCTATAGGGTTATTATAAATTTATATGAAATAAAGCATGCACCTTTTAGGTGAGTATCTGGGGTATACTATGGAAATGATCAGTCAATGTTAACTTAAAAAAATCTGGACAGATAAGAGATATAGAGCAAGACTCCTGAGGAGACAAAGAGATGGAATTTGGGCAGCAAATAGCAATGACTGATTCGTGTTGATGTATGGCAGAAACCAACACAACATTGTAAAGCAATTATCCTTCAATTAAAAATGAACCAATTTTTTTTTTAAAAAGGAGGTATGCTATTTCCATAGAAATGAGAGGAGGCGAGCCAGGTAACGGAGTGAATGCAGATCAACGTCTTGGTGAAAGGAACAGAACACTGAGGACAGACGGTCCCACTTGATCTCGAAAGTGCCTTTGAAAGAGACATGGTCATCTCCTGTGAAGAAAGGAATAGATTCAGGGCAGGACCTTGTATAGGAGGATGAAGGCTGGGAGTGGATGGAGAGTGACTGACAGATAGTTACTCAGGACATGTTGTGTGGAAGACCCAGTGGAGGCCAGAGATCATTACTGCTTGTCTGTCATGATTTGGTGGTTATTTTCCTAAAAAAATGTTTTGAGTTTTGGTAGTAGGGCCAAAAAGGTTTTGTGAGTAGAAGTAATAGATGTAGACAGAGAGAAGGTTGGGATTCTGTCTGAAGAACATGCTTGATATTCAAAGGGGACAAGGGCAGGGTTGAGATGAGGGTCATGAGGTCCAAGCTGGAGGGAAGAAAGTATAGAGATGGAGAGATATCTAGCAGTAACAGACAGGGGGTAAATCCCTGGATGCTTTAATGATGTGAGTGAATACAGAACGTGGAAGAGGGTGAGCCAAAAACTAGAAAGATGCAACTCATGGTCAGGATGGAAAACAGAAGGTTGAGCAGAGAAGTAGTTCTCCATGATGACAAAAGCAGAATAGCGTTTTGAGTGTAGAAAACTTGTTGGAATAAGAGTAAGCCAAATTGGAGTAAAGAAGTGATGCCCAGAAAACGTGAGGCTTGAGCAGCACATGTACTATTATGACCATATGTACATATGTACACTGGGGTATGGGGAAGGTCTAACAGCTTTAGGGTCTTTCCCCTGGGCAGTTGATCTTTACATGCATGTCTTCTGCTGTCCCGTGAACTGACATACCTCCTTGATGAGCTCATTAATTAAAATACCTTCCAGTTTAATATCATTAGAGAAAGATAGTTGAGCAATGTCACGGTAGTTACAAAAATATGAGACACTCACTCTACATCTTTAAACTGCCTTGACTGCCCTGACTAGTATCACTAGGTCTTTTTTTTTTTTCAATTACTCAAACCAATTCTTTGATTAACAGATTTATTGTTTGTTTGTTTTATAATTTAAATTTACTTGCCCAGAAGTACCATTCAATATTGGCAAATTGTACTAGCTTGAACCATACTCAGAGGTGAATATTCTCTGGAATTTAAGATGAGCCTGTGTGGTAGATCTTTCTCATCTTTCATGATCTCAAAATCATGACTTCCTGATGAATGCCCTAAACACATATTTTACAATTCATCTTGGAAATAGGAAGCTTGCTCCCAGGGTTCGCTTCCTTTCTCTAAGCCCCCTTGTGGCAGTGAGGTGTATCTTTTCTACCCCTATGATTTGCATAAGGCTCCTAGACTTTCTGGAATGAAAGAGGGGACCCACAGAGGGAGATCGATGGAGATGTGAGCTTTCATTGTGCCAAATGTAAACATTCTAGATGTATGGAACTACATAAAAATTTTATGTATATATACACATCTGTGTTTGTATATATCTATGTGCCTGTATATGTATTATCTTTAATCTTCTGTAAATTATAAGTCATACAGAGTGAAGTAAGTTAGAAAAACAAACGTCATATATTAACACATACATGTGAAATCTAGAAAAATGGTATAGATAATCTTATTTGTAAAGCAGAAATAGAGACATAGATCTAGACAACAAATGTATGAACACCAAGGGGGGAAGGGAGAATGGCATGAAGTGGGAGATTGGGATTGACGTACGTACATTACTATGCATAAAATAGATAAATAACGAGACCTACTGTATAGCACATGGAATTCTACCCAATGCTCTGTGGTAACCTAAGTGAGAAGGAAGTCCAAAAAGAGGGGATGAATGTATAAGTATGGCTGATTTGCTTTGCTGTACAGTAGAAATTAATACATTGTAAAGCAGTTATACTCCACCAAAAATTAATTTTAAAAAAAGCCACGCATTAAGTCACTGGACTCCAGTACAGCTCATGGTGATTATTAAATGACTTTCAGGTTGTGTGCGCCCTAGTTTATTCCCTTGTCCCCATCTCTCGGGTGCTTGGTTTTCAGCCCTCATCAGCAGTCCTTCTCCGAGCTTCAGGAATCGTAAAGCTTTGAAGTGAACAGAGAAGCATGCTTCTGCCTACCTCTGGTTTTCAGCACCAGAAATTCTGTGTCTAACACCTGTTTTCAATCTTCTGCTCCATTTCTCAAATCTTATTATATCTCTGCCTTTTCACACTTCGTAGTCTCTCTCTAATATTTGTTTGCAAAACACTAACTCATTTGTATTTCTATAATTACTGTGATTTTTTGTCTTCTCATCTGTAGTGGTTCCTTCCTTCTGGCAGCCTCTCTCTAACTACTGTTCTTCTACACAATGGCACAGCATGTGAGATGATCCCTTATTTTAGGAGCAACCAGGCAGCTTTCTTGATAGTCAAGATAAAATTATGTTTCTAGAACCAGAACATTCTCTTTCTCATGAGATAACTAGTCTTCAGTTTCTTGACTTACTGAGCTCTAACAGTTCCCATTTTCAAATGAGTATCTTTCCTTGCTACTGAGAAATTTAGTAACTTTGTGTTCCAGGATATGACTCAGGCCTCTTACAGGTATCTGTTTATCTATATGATATGCCTCTGTAAGTAATAAGATATCTTTTTTTCACAGACAAGGAAAAGAGACAAAAATGTTAAGAAACGCTCAGAAAATACATTGGGGAAAGTATACCTTAAAATTTCCTGTAATGGGAAATTCCTTTTTAATTGTGGATGAGGGTTTGTCACCCTAAGTTTCAGCATTATGCGTGCATCTGTGAAATATTTCTCTTCCTTCATAAATGATGATATTGCTGTTTTAGATAATTCCCTTAAAGAGAAGTTGTTCCAAAAGCAACTTTAGATCAGAACTTTTGGACATTATACAAATTTTAAAGACCAACAAACCAATGTCCTACCCCTATATGGGGGGAGGTGAGGGTACATGGAACACAGAGGTGGGGGATTAAGAGGTACAAATATTAGCTATAAAATAAGCTACAAGGATATATTGTACAATGAAGGGAATATAGTCAATATTTTATAGTAACTATACTCAGAGTATAACCTTTAAAACTTGTGAATCACTGTACTGTATACCTGTAACTTACATACCATTGTACATCAACTATCCTTCAATAAAAAATAAAGACGTAAATACTGATGGTGGCACAGATAACACTCCCAAGTATTTTTAGGACACACTTGGGGTACAAGTGGTATGACTGAAGATTTCTAGACCAAACACCCAGGTTGGCTCTTTTCTGGCATCCCTTTAAGTATAATTTATTTTAAAATGTATGTTCTCATATAGAGTAGGTAACTAATGAGAACCTACAGTATAGCTCAGGGAACCATACTGAAAGCTCCGTGGTGACCTAACTGGGAAGGAAATCCAAAAAAGAGGGGAGATATGTATACACGTGGCTGATTCACTTTTCTGTACAATAGAAACTAACACAGCATTATAAAGCTACTATACTCCAGTAAGAATTAATAAGAATAAAATGAAATGCACATTCACAGAAGGCAAAGCTTTGTGTTCAAGTGTGTTGTTGTGGCGACCCACATTTTGCTTACCTTTGTTGTTGTTTAGTTTTTAAGTCATGTCTGACTCTTTTGAGACCCAATGGACTCTAGCCTGCCAGGCTCCTGGCATGGAGCCATGGGATTTTCCAAGCAAGAATACTAAAGTGGGTTGCCATCTCCTTCTCCAGGGGATCTTCTGAGACCAGGAATCAAACCCCCATCTCCTGTACTAGAAGGCAGATTCTTTACCACTGAGCCACCAGGGAAACCCTTTGCTTACTGTAGTATTCATTCAATATGACTCATGCACTAGAATGCCAAGAAGTACTGTTGAAGCAAAAAGGATACCTTTCAAATAATTAGCCCTTGGAGGAAAGTGCTGCCCATCTATCTAGATCCATTGGGGAATTTAGGGGCCAACAAGATAGTATAGAAAAGGTCAGAGAACAGCCAGGGTCTCCAAGCTGCATGTCCTGCCATCAGAGACACATGGAAGTCACAGCAGACACTGCCCAGCGTCCAGACATCCACAGATGGTGGCTGTCATGAGGGGACTGACTCACACTACGGATTACAGCACTTAAAGCAAACAGGATTAGATGTTTAGACAATAGGCAGGAAGCCTTCTATAGTTCACTGACTATAAATTTAAAGGAACAGTCCATTATTTATAGCAATCTCATCAACATAGAAGGGAGACAGAGTAAATTTTTATTGGTCAATTTAATCCAATGCTCCCACAGTACTACTAAGCTAAAATACCCATCAGCTTCAAAAGGACTAACGCAGAGGGACTGAAACTGACCTTTTAAAAATGATGATTGATCTAAAATATGACATGAATGAACTATAGCTCCAAAACAGAAACAGACTCACAGACATAGAGAACAGACTTGTGGCTGCCAAGGGGAGGGGAGTTGGGGCAGGGGAGGACTGGGAATTTGGGATTAGCAGAGATGCAAACTTCTAGAAACAGGATGGATAAACAACAAGGCCTGCTGTGTAACACAGGGAACTATACTCAATATCCTGTGATAAACCATCATGGAAAAGAATGTGAAAAAGAATATATATGTATAACGGAGTCACTTTGCTATACAGCAGAAATGAACACAAATTGTAACACAAATTGTAAATCAACTCTACTTCAATAAAATTAATTTAGAAAAATGACAACCAAGGGATTTCCCTGGTCCAGGGGCTAAGACTCCGTGTTCCCAATGCAGGAGGCCCAGGTTTGATCCCTGGTCAGGAATCTAGATTCCCCCATGCCACAACTAAAGATCCTACATGCTACAATTAAGACCCAGTGCAGCCAAATAAATAATAAATAACTATTTTTTAAAGATGTCTACTGCATCACATGCCCTTCATTTTCAAACCAACTAATTTTAGTTTCAGAACATTTTACTTGTACGAAGATTCCTATCGTTTTGCTATTTTAATCCCAAATAGTCATTGATTTTACTTGTTAGAAAACAAAAATAGGAGAGACAGAGAGACTGAGATCTGAATAATGGGTTCACTAAGTGAGGTATTTTAGAATGGAGAGCTGGATACAAATTCAGGATCAAGTTATTTAATGAAATGCTAAAGTGGCCATTTATTCAAACTAGCACATCTGATTAGAAGCTATCTTTAATGCAGGCTTGCCAGGCATCATCATAAATATCACAGGCTAGGAATTTCTGTGTGCATGGAATAAAGATCCTCTTCCTCGTACGACAGGATAATATCTTTAGCATCACCACACAATATTTATTAAGGGTGTCTTCACAATGGAAGATGGTATCTTTACAACATAATAGTTTATGAGTAGGAAAAAGTTTAAAGCATTCTGAATGTTGTAAATGTGAAACCAGTGCCATATAATGAATTACCATTTTTTCACAGGGTGAGACTTCTGGTGGATGAGGGCTACGAGGATCGAATTCTGATGGCACACGACATACATACAAAGAATCGGCTGACGAAATATGGAGGTCACGGCTATTCCCATATCCTCACCAACATTGTTCCTAAAATGTTGCTGAGGGGGATAACTGAGGGTGCACTTGATAAGATACTGATTGAGAACCCCAAGCAATGGCTAACTTTCAAATAGGTTGGTTGTTACGAATTCACACCTTGAGTGTAAAGCTTGCCAGGGAACAGAGAGTGATTTCAAACCCACTGTGAGATATTAATCAGAGCCACAGAGGACTAATGACGGAATATTTCCTTTTTATGGGAAATAGAAGACTTTTGCCTTCTCAGAAACTGGCTATTACATCTGTACCTTTAGGGAGTTGCAGAGCCTAATTAAGCCCTATTGTTTTTTGTTCACAAAATAAATACAAAAGTAGCCATTTCCAAATGATGATTTACAGTTTAGATCCCCTGAGTGGAGTTTGCTTCCTCTTGTTTTGTTTTCTTAATCCATCAGCAGCACTCCTTGAGAAAACTTAAACTGTTTTTAGTTAAATTACGCCCTTCTGGAGCAATCTAATGTTTCTTGTAATATTGATGATTCTACTAATTACCCTGCTGTTCTTTAATTAATGCTTAATGAATAATATCCCACTTTAAAATAGCTTCTGCAGCAAAGGAAGCTAAATTTTGAGACATTTATTTTAAGGATACTGTAATACAATAACCAATTCACAACAGTAAAAATATTGTGGAAGGTTAATTATATCTGTTCACCTATCTTCATATACTTAAAATAAATCACTTTTGTTGCCTGTGCCTTTCTGGTATCCAGTTTTCCTATATTTTCTTGTGATTTGAAAAATTTATAAAAGGGGATATGAACACACAGCATAGTATTCTATTATAAAAATTCAATCATAAAAGTCAAAATATATTACATAATATAGTTTAATGAATCATTACATTTATAATAACAAAGGCCACAATTTAATTAATTAATAATATAGAATGCAAAAAAAGAGAAATGTTTGCCTTATATATATATATATTCCCTTTATTTTCTTTACCTTTCATTTGTCTTTCCTTGGGCCTGAACAGAAAATAATGCTTATTTATCTGAAGAAAAGGTCAGATCTATTAGAAATGACAGTCTGATTCTAGAGCCAAATTTTAAAAAGGTACCCAGACCTGATGTTTAGTGTAAATAAAACATTTTTTGAAACTCTTAGTTGATGTATACTGCTGTTTATAAACTAATCTTTTGGTTGAATCCTTCACTATACTATTTGCTACCTAAAAGAGAAAAGTCTCCAGACCTTTACTGCCAATTCCTCTTCGATAAATACATATTGTTAAATGGAAATAAAATCTACTCCAACTCCTTTATGATTTATCTTACATATTAGAAAGGCCAAATAGAGTTAGTCATTAGTCTTGATAAAGGGGCTAAGTGTTGCTAATCATGTAAATCATGAGAGTTACTCAGACCAAGGCATTTAAACCAAGTAAACAGCACCTTCAGATGGGAACACCAGGCGTAACTCATTCGGAAAGTTGAGGTTCGTGAAATAAAAGATATTTCTGTGTATCAAGGATGATCAAGCTTTCTGTGTATTAGAACAGAAAGCACCCAAGAGGAAGGAGCCAGGAGAACAAACTAATTCCTTTAAATGAAAAAATGCAAATGCCCTTCACCAGTAAAAGAGACAGATTTTTCAGTCTCTGTTTTTGAAATCTAGTTGTCAAAGAGTCTTCAAAGGCAACTGAGAGTGGAACAGATTTTTCATTGTAATAGTGGAAGTAGTCTGATAGTTAGAATATATAAACATGCATTTCAAATCTTTTTCTTAGAATAAAGAGATGGCTTTTGGCAGTGTATTTTAAACAGAGAGGAAGGATTTGCACTACTCTCAAAATCTACCTTACTGTCAGCTTCAGGCCACCTGAGAAAAAAGAAAAAAATTGATCATTCAAATGCATATGATTCATAAACATTGCAAAGGACAGCTACTTCATCTCTGCAGTCCTAACAGTAACAGTCACAGAATGCAGTGAAAGTATTGATTGGCATATGGTAATAAAGAAGTCACAGGCTTAATTTACAGATGTGATTTCTGGGGCATTTTAACCTGATAAAATTTAATTTTCTGGATCACTCTTAGAAGTCATCTGAATGATTTTGCTACTCCATATATTTTTGTCTTCCAAAATATATTTCAATCCAAAATAAGTCAAGTAATTTATGCACGTTTGTGTTTGTGCCTACATGTACATATTTTTTAATTAAATTTTTGGGTCTATACAGCCACTGTACCTATGGTCTGAAGCCATATATATATTATATTTCATCTAACATATATATATATACATACACATATATATATGTAGCAGGTATTTGTATAAAATATATACACTTTGTTGTCATATTGGTTATATGTGAAATGGTATGTTTTGAAATAACCTCAGGCCATGACCTGTTGTAACTATTTGAAGGCCTTATTTAGTGTCCCCTCGGTGAGGCATGCAGCAGTGCAAATTAAACCTATGTGCATTGGGTTATGAATAATCTTTTGTTTCAGAGAAGGCGAAAGCCTCTGTCTGATTTAACACCAAAGAATAAATTTCTCTGACTTGTCCAAGTAAACCTAAACACATTCTACTGACAAACCGGACACAGGGGATTTTTCTAAATACCATACATAATTACACGTTTACACACTTAGAGGGTAATCCTATGATACAAGTTCAATCTCTATTTTTAAGGACTATCAACCAAAAAGAAAAGAAGATTCCTAAGTTAAAGGAAGTGTGGAAAATGACCATAGGCTTGGGAATTCCCTCAAATCCAGAAAATTCCAGGTTAAGGCTTGAAGTTGAATCATTCCCAGGTCTAAGCTAAAGTTAACAAGAATACAAGGCAAACGATTTCTTTGGGGACAAAGCAGCATTGTGTCAATGAGACCCTCTCCTGCAGGGTAAAAGTCATTCTTCCCCACACTGTAAATGGACCCCGAGTTTCATAATTAGCAGATAAACTCACAGGAACCAAAGCCGACATATGGATAAAAGCAGCGAGATCACAGTACACCAAAGTATCATATATATCGAAGAAATAATTCAGTGTCTTAGATTTTTCTATAAAAATTTGTGATCTATATATAGGACTTCATTCACACGGACACTAACAATAAGGAGTATTTGCTTTGGCGGTAGTGGATCACACATCTGCTTATCTTGATTTTAATATATATTTTTTTTACATCATGTTCTGAGTACACAGATGTGAGTCAGGTAGCATTTGAATCCCCCACATCATATACACAGCTGAGGTGCCCCGCATCCGGCATCCCCCGGGGTCCTCGGTTCACTGACGTTAGCCACATGAATCCAAGGTCTGAACTCAGAGTAAGAAGCTTAGTTTTTGCACGATCAGTCAGCATAAATAATAAATCCAGAAAATGTGCTGTATTTGTTGTTGTTGCCTCCGTGGGCTTTCCCGCCATCTAACTTGATGTAGACTTCGTCCCCTGGCTCCAGGTGAAGAACCACGCTGTTACTCGCATAGTCGTAATTCTGATCCGCGTCTTGGGCGATCGCGCTGGCGCGCACCTGTGTGAAACAGAAAAGAATTAGAATCTGCAAAAGAGATCTTCTTTTCTTTGTCTTTTCTTTTCTTTCTTTTCTTTTCTTTTTTTTTTTTTTTTGCCATTCACACAGCACCATAAATAGACTGGCCGTTAGGGCCCTGAATTTAGCACTGCCAAGTCCACCTTGGCCTTGGGGCTTTATGAGGATATCTTTGAAACGGTTTCAACTACGCTACTGGAAAACAGAAAATAGTGCTTTTCTGAGGGTCATTGTAGCAGTCTCTTTTTTAAAAAAACTATATGTGGTAAACAATGCATACCAATCTCTTTTCTTCCTAAATCAGGACTTTTCTAATTCCTTGTATCTCTATGCCCAATCACTTCCTGAAATGGCCATTGTTTTTTGCATTTTAATTTAAACCAAGCAGCAGTATTCTAACCAGTTGTCTATGAGTATAGAAGTTCAAACCAAACTTCAGTTGGTCCCTCTGATTATTAGAAAATTGAGATCCATGGAATGTACAGACTCAGAGAAATCTGACTCCTCTAATTCTACTATACAGAAAGAAAAAAAAAAGAAATCTTTTTGATTTGGGGCTTTCAAAATCTAATTCAAGGAAAAGCCCCTGTACCCGAATCAAACATCTTTGGTTTAAAAGTTTTCATAGCTCTTACTTCTATTTGTGCCTTTTTATCACTTAGTTGTGTGCATTTAAAACTATTTAATTTTAATACATCTAAAACTTATAGAAGGAACAACATTTCTATGATTTGATGTCTCTAAAATTTCTAGAATTTTTGAATGATCTCATGGAATACCCTTTTATATTTAGGTGATTCTAAATGTGTGGTTTGCTCTGAGGATGGAGCTTTGCTTATAATCCACTCAGGTTGAGCCTGTGATCTCATTAGAGAGCTGACAGACACTTGCAAACAGTCCAATTCCCCATCATATCAAGTAATATGGACATTCTGTCACATTCTCAACTCCAATTAGGCTTCACATTCATTTAGTTGTATTTTGAGTCTACCTTAGAAAAAAAATTTTTCAATAGGCAGACTTGTACTTGATTTATTTCAGTAAAACATCTACTTTGTGGCTTGTTTCTATTCCACTGTAATGATATTTCCCCAAGTAACACAGTGAGTGATTTAGTGGTTTTGTAAACCTGTACTATGTAATAATGCATGACTTGGGGTGCAATATGTGGGATTTTATCACTTGGCAAAATGAGAGAAATGAGACATAAGTCAAGCATTTCCATTCCTTTCTTTCAAAATTTAAATGATAGGTTTTCAAATTAAATTTTCATGTGGTATGTTCTCACAGTAATGCTGAAATGTTAAAAAAGGAGAAGGCTCTTTGACACTGCTGAACTTGTAAGTCGAGTAGTATTTTAAGCATTTCTTTCTGGGTATCATATGGCAAAAGGAGAAAGGGGCTTAAAGATTTAGAATCATTTAACACTGTGCTAATTAGCACTAATATAATGAAAGCAATATATAATTATGCTGAGAAGCACTGATTCAAATGTATACACCAGTTTAGTGAAGTGATCTATTTTGAACATTAATAAAAATACAACTTAATGTCATAATGTTTTTTAGGAATTAATCCATTAAATTATAGGAGTTGGATGCTTTGATTCACTAATTTCATCTAGTCAATACATTCCCAGGGGAAAATGTAGGACATTTTCCTACAAGGAGGACAGCATTCTTAGGGACTAATTTTTTTTTTTAATGTGTAGATTTTTAATGAGTGATAAAAATTAAAATACAAAATAATTGCTAGTCATATTAGGAATATGTGAGTTATCAATCTATAATAGGTTTCTCACCTAATAATCAGCCACACATTTTTATTTAGTGCTTTAGGTATTTAGTATGAAATTCTATGGGTATTGTGCTTTAACACTGTTTTCTACATGAGGGCAATTGAGAACTGGGATTATCAAAATCAGTTGATTTAGAGATAACAGTCGTAAACACATATATAATGCAATTTTTATTCTATTGCATTATGGGGTCTAACCACAAACCCATGTAAATGTTACCGTTTTTATTCAGTAGGTGTTACCATGAAAATCTGCAAATGCATTAGGGTGATTCCACAGAATGGAAGGTTACCCTTACAGTTTTCACTTCCTTTGTTGGATAAAGCCAGTGTGATTGCTTTTTAATGAAAGTGATTCTCAAAGATTTTAACCTGTACTGTACCATAATACTCTCCCAATTAAATACATGCCATATTCTAGTGTACTTTGCATGATTTTTGTATGCCTGCTCACCTGATCAAACTATAAAGGTATAATGGAACTTGAAATTTCAAGCTCTAGTATCCAGCCCAGTAACTTCCAACAATTCTTCCTTTAAGCCATCAAATTATTGAGGAAAGTAATGTATCTACCCTGAAGACTATTTTCAGGTTCCAAAATGTACACTGATTTCAGCATTTTCTCTGAAAGGTTGGTGTATTCTTTTCTTTGCCCCATATACCCAATTCTACCTAAATGCACTCTAATATCTTTTCATATTATAAGTTAACTATTTAGATTCTGCTGATCTTAAGTGCATGTTTCACAACCCCTAAAAAGATAATTAATTTGATATTTCATGAATCTTGCTAATAAATTAATACCAGCCCACAACTGTCCATTATTTCCAATATATCTCATATTTACTGGTGCCATGACTAATAAATTCTTAGAGTAAAAATGGATCTTTAATTATTTTATAGTTCTAATCTTAAGCCAGTTTTATTTTTTATTACAGTAGCTTTTTTTTCTTTCTAGAAAATTAGAGTAGCTTATTATAGTGGTATTAAAGTGACTGGATTCAAATAGGTATATTTTTTATTCAGGTTTCCTGCTAAAAGTATACAAACTTAAAAAATTCCTGTCTCTGTTAAAGCTATTTGAGTCCAACTCTTGCCTTTAATATGCACTGTCATGGGCTTTTAACACATGGTAAGATTAAATTTAGGTTGATGGTTTCATGGGGAATATGAGAATCATGGTCCTTTTAGTTCTGTGTTTGTGAGGATATGATAGGTTATGTTGCCTTAGCATTATCTTATTAGTGAGGGTTTATCATTAGAGACAATATTTATGGTAACATTTGCTAATTTAATTAATTGCTACTGATGCTCTCATAATTTCATTTTCATTGTACTTCTGTGGAATCATAAACAAAAGGTTAAGTGGTGCATCAGGTTAATTTACTGGCCCTTGATGTTTCCATCTGTGATTCTGCATTCAAACACAAAGCATAAATAAAATGGTTCTCATATAGTTATGGTCCAGAGGCATTCCTCTATCCTAGAGTGAACCGCTTTTTTAGTTTAATTTTTTGTGCTTCTCAAATCTACTTAATCCATAGAACATTACGCTGACATGGATCTCTTGAGTTTCTGTTTTATGAAAACAAATTAGGTCAGCTCAGAAGAGGGAACTGCTGTCTAAGAAGTGATCAGACAAGAGTAAAATTGAAAATCAAGGATCAACTCTTTCTTTAATGTTAATTAAAAAAAAGATTTTGTAAGATTTGTCATTTGTAATGCCTGCAGACCAGACTTTACAAAATAGTTCTATTCTGTAGATAGAATTTCTTAACACTAATATTGTAATAACCATTTTGCAAAACAGTCCTTGCTGAACTCGAAAATATATTGTTTGATACGGTATTTGTTTTTCTGAATAACTTGTTGCTCACCTTTTATAGATGCAGCAGCTTAATAATGCCAATGAAAAGCATTATACATTATCAGGTCAGCTGTTTTGCCCTTTTTTTTTTTTTCCTGATCCTCACAGAATGCATATCCTAGGATGATACAAAGAACCCTTCTACACTCCAAACAATGAAATAATTTTAAAAAACAAAATGTACATGGAACACATATATGGCATGGTTTTCCTGGAATCTAAATCTGGCCTCAGCGTCAACATTTAAGCTAATTTAAATGTATTACTCCCTGGCTTTTCATGCAATTGCAATTTCCAGAGACTTAAAGATGTGTGTTTTTATACTCTGGCTGAAACAACTTGAATCTTTTTTTTTTTATTTGAATTAATACCTCTAAAAACAATCTCTTCAGCCTGACAGTATTTGCTAGACTTAATCTTTGAGTCAGAAGGCAGCCAAATTGTAAATAAATGGGTGCCTCATCACTGCCTACGGAGGGGCTCTTCACAAATCATTTTGTTAAGGTGACACAATAGCTCTATTTTGGTAAAATGAGTCATGCCCTTTTCAGCCATTTACCTATAAGGAAGCCACTGCTCTGTGAATAATTTTTATTTATCTTAATATTATTTTCATGCATAATAACTATAACAAACAACCCTGTCAGTGCCTCCTGGTGGCCATTTTTCCTCTTTTTTTGTTCTATCTGACCTTAGGGTCCCTTAAGCCATTTACTTCTGAATTCCTTTACAAGTGAGGGGTGATAGGAAAGAGAATGGACAGGATATTTTGCCCTTTCTCTTATTTATTTAGAGCATTTGTGTTTCACTTTGGAAGAATTCTGACACTGTGAATTGGGTGTTTGGAATAAATTCTGCTTTAATGTGGCTTAATAGAAACCAGGGTTATAGCTAGGAAGGTCTCAATTCAAGGGACAAGCGACCTGAAGCCTGAGAGTCCTTGTTACATCACAGTTGGCCCTCGCAGGGTCATGCGGAGCGGGGTGGAGGGGGACTCTGTGCCACCCGAGAAGCAAAGTTAAACCCAAGAACTCAGCCCAGACTGCAGGCTGCAAGGCCTCCCCCAGCGGCTGCTGATTTACCGTGTGCAGAGGGTCTGATTACCCTTTGAGGTAGATACAAATATGATTTTCCTCCCCTGACTAAGAGATCAGACACACTTCGGTTTTGCAATGACTGCGAATTTCTCAAGGCAACGATAAAGTGGCCCCAGCCTAACACCGCACACCAGTGGCCCTTCGAGCAGCACGCAACGGCTTGGCTCAGGGGAGCAAGTCGCCTAGCCGAGGGCTAACCTGGGGCTATTTCCTAGTTCAGGCCAAGGCCACCGCTGCTTGTGAGGGAAAGGCTGGGGGAGAGACCCTCACGAAGGTGCCCAGGGGCTCCCTGGCAGGGAGCCTCATTGCCCCGGGGTTGGGTTTGGCCACCAGGTTCCTGACCACCCGGCTGTGCGTCCTCCGGCTCCAGCCAGTGGAGTTTGGGCTGTGTTTGGGAGCGTGTTTTATGGCACAAACCCAGGATTCTCAACTTTTCCTTTTGTTAGCAGCACTCATTGTCTCTCCCCCTTCTTCAGCTGAAATCTAAACCAGAGTTTTTCCATCTCGAATTTGACTACTTGTGAGTTTATCCGGGCCTGGCCACCGCGGATCCCGTGGTCCTGCCTTGGCCCCGGGTGCGCCCTCCGCTCGGACTCACTCCTCCGCGCCCCTTCTATTTTTCCCTTTGGGCCCAGGTCTTTCTCCCTCGCGTTTGTCACGCTGGCACGCCCACTTCTGGCTCCCCCAGCCCTCCCAATTCCTGGCAAAATCTGACAGTGACCCCACGCTGATGAGCATCCCACAGCCGGGGGGTCGCTTTCTCCTGCGGGACTGCCCGAGGTGCACGAACTGTCCCGGACTGAATCCTGCTTCCCGTTTCTTAGGGGCGCGCGCACCGAGCGCAGGTGCCCGGGCTCGGGAGCCACCCTCGCCAGGCCGCCGGGGGCTCTTCGGCGTACGACCCCCGCCTCCTCAGGGTGGGGACAGCGTGCCCCCTCGCTCGCAGCTCCCGGGAGCTGCAGCTGCCGCGCCCTTCCTCCGAGGGCTCCCACCCCCCATTTCCGGGGTCTCCTCCCTCTCGCCTGCACCTTCCCGCGCGCCCTCCCCGCCCTCCGCCTGCTCTCACCTGGTTGTTTTTGCAGAGATCAGCCCACATGCTGGTGCCATCCCCTCCTCGCATCAGGACGTGGTAGGTGAAGAAGTAGATACCCGGGATGGAGCAGGTGAACTTGCCCGTGGTGGGATCGTAGTGGTTCCCGAGGTTGGTGACCACGTCGTCGAACTTGAGCACCTCGTAGCCTTCGTGCTGCCGCTTGAGGCCAGCGTAGAAGGCGATCTTGGGCACCGTGCTGTAGGTGGCGGCGCTGATGGCCCCGGCCGCGTTCAGGCCCGGCGCCCCCGGCGGGCCCGGCAGGCCTTGGCGGCCGGGCTCGCCCTTCTCGCCCGGGGGGCCCACGGGGCCCGGCGGCCCGGGCTCACCAGGGGGCCCCCGCGGGCCCGCCTTCCCCGGCCTGCCGGCCTCGCCTTTGGGACCCTGGATGAAGGTGGGCAGGGACTGCATGAGGCCGCGGTCGGGCGTGGCGGCCGTGCTGGGCGCCTTGGTGCCCCCGTAGGGGTCGCAGACCATGCGGCAGGTGCCCAGCATCTCGTAGTGCGCCGACGTGCCGGCCGAGCTCACCAGCACCGGGATGAGGATCACCAGCAGCAGCACCATCACCACCCCCAGCGCCCCGGCTGCAATCAGGCGCCTCCTGCTGCCCACCAGCCGGCTCAGCGCGGGGCGATCCTCTTGTCTGCTTTTGGACAAAATTTTGAAGGTTGGGCGGGGACCTCCTCAGAGCCGAAAACAACCCCCTGCGAACCCCAAGTCCCCTGGGCGGGCGCGCGCCGGCCGCTCCTCGCGGGCTCTTGCTCTCCCCCCAGCTGAGGCTGCGGCTGGGGAGGGAGCTCGGACGCCAAGTGACTTGAGCTGAAGTCCCGAGCTGGGGGTGCGGGTGGGGGTGGGGGCAGGGGGAGGGGTGCGCAGGGCGCCCTCTCGCCTCCCTCGAGCCCCTGGCACCTGTGGCTGCCTGGGCGCCGGCGCGGCCGCCCTGAGCGCAGAGCAGCCGCCGCCTCCCGCGCTCTCCCGGGCCGCTCACACTTTTATGCCGCCGCCTGCGATCGACTTTTCCGTTTTTGCCGACTGCGCCAGTTCGCACCAACTTTCCGTCTGAAGTTGCCTTTTTCTGCCTCCTTCTCTTCTTTCGCTCGCTGGGATCGCCCTTCTCCTTTCTTTTCTCTCTCTTTTTTTTGTTCCCCTCCTCGGCAACCACCAGAACTCTAATAGATGCGCATCCCCAAAACCCCACGCACCGGCCGCAAGACCTCGGGCCCGGCGCCCTCCGGGTGAGCGGAGCAGCGGCGCTGGGCACCGGCAGCGGCTCCGAGAGGCTCCGGGCTGGATCGGAGGAGCTGGCGAGCAGTGGCGAGCGCCTCACGGCCGGGAGCGGAGCGAGAGAGAGACTGAACGCAGAATTCTGCCTGGGTACCACCTGCCAGGAGAAGAGGAGGCTGACAAACGCGCGCCGGAGCAATTTATAGGCACCCAAGGCGCAGAGGAAGGGGAGCCGCTTTGGCATCTCATTGCGGCATCTGCTCTGCTCATCCCACTCAAAGAGAGTTTGGCATTACTCTGACAATGTGGGATTTTTTTCCCCCCCTCGGCCTCTCTCTCTCTCTCTCTTTTTTTTTCCCTTCTCTGCACATGGATGAACAGTGAGATCCTGAATACTCCCTTGCTGAACTCAGGCGATGGCAGCGCTCTCCCTGGACATATGGGGTGGGAGGTGGGGGTGGTGGTGGAGGTGAGACAGATGTACAGGAGGAGCCTTCAGAACTCAAGGGTCACACCTAAGTCCTCTATTTCCCCACTGCCTGCAGCCCCAGTTGGAGGGTGCAGTTGAAGGTTGAATGGAGGGTGGCTGGGTTGACAGTATTTCTCTAATGGCTCACCCACAATTGGCACTTCAGGTGTTTTGTCTTGTTTTTTTCTTTTTCTCAAAATGCCACTTTTAACATAAGGAGGGCCCTTTAGAATTTTCCAGATGGTAGATGTGATTTTTTTTAACCTTATGATTTTCCTCACCAGCCTTCCAAAGTGAAATAAGATGTTACCCAAAAAACAGCAAGGTGTGTTGAAAAGCCAAAGGAACTTTCTCAAGGATTTCAGATGAACGTGCCCACCACATAAAAGCGGGGAGAGGGGACTCTTTTGACAAATGCTGCAAATGGTGAGAGTACAGATAGGTACTCTGATTACAGGCTTACAGTTCTAGCAACCTTTCAGGAGATTCAGCCACAGACCTAAGTTGCATTTACTTAAAGGCAGTACCTGCATAAGAAATAATCACTTGTCAGGATGCCTTCAGAAGTCTTGAGAGAGAGCAGACAGAATTCACAAAAGTACTGGACAAGATCTTTTCTTAAGACACAGAAAGAGCCCTGCAAGCTTCAAGCACATTTCCTGCATGTGTCTTGGGGGAGGGGAAAAATGGGCAAAATATGAGAAAGAAGAGCTCCCATTTGTGATGGCGAGCAGAAGGAACAACCTGAATTTATAATATTAATGGAAAGCCCCTTGGCAGTAGATATTAGGCAAGTTATCCCACCAACAAATACATAAGACACACAAGAATGACTTGAAATAAACAAGTAGAATTGATTCGTAAATCATACTTCTGCATTCAGGAGCAACGAATGTCAATCAAATGCGGGTGACATTTGCTTGTCAATACAGGGATGATGGCTGGGAAGATGGTGACTTATTACATCGGGGCGAGAATTGAAATGAGAAGCAGGAACAACTAAGATTGCACAACCAGCAAACAATAGCATTCCAGGTGCCCATCAGGGGCCTGTGATCTGGTCTGTGGGTTCCACAGCACGAATGGACATCCTCTCCTCTCTGCTTTCTGCCTACTCCTATCCCACCCCACCAGTTCAGTTCTTTCTCTCCTCCTCCTCTGTTTCGGAACAAAATAAGGCCAAATGAGGAGGCAGAAGGAAACAAAGATTCATTGATTCTTCTAAGAGAAATGTCAGCTGCTTGTCAGGTCTTTCCTGGGAGAATCAACACTAAGGCATTGGGCACTGGGGGGCATCCTAGCCCAGGTCTCCCTACTCCCCAGCATCACTGCCTCTGGCTGCTGACATGGCCCCTGCTCCTGCTACTGGGACACACACAGTCCTCCTCAGTTCTCAAACCTTTCACTTTTATCTGAAGGGCTTGGTTTTATAAACATCTGTCTTTACCTTGGACACAGCTACACATACATTTCACACTGTTTTTGTTCACACATACATGTCACACTATTTTTGTTCACATGAGCTGCCTTATTTTTTCATATGTTTAAGCAACAAACACATAGTTCTCTCCAGGCAACAGTATCTATTTTCCTAACATTTCTGGGTTGCTTCTCAAAGTTACCTGTGTTGGGGGAGGGGGGCGGGGGCAAGGGACAAAATGTGGTGTCAGCAGTAGCAGGTAATGTATTAATGAAATAAGTTCTTCCCTGATACACCAAATTATCAGATGTCATCCAAGTTCTTTATTGCAAAAAATTATTGAGTAGAGGAATAAAAGCAAAGTTTTTTTTTTTTTTAAAGGGAGAATTGTATAAATAAATTCTCATCAAAAACCTCAAGATATTGGGTTTGGTCAAGAAGTTTGTGTGGGTTTTTCTGTAACAACTTATGGACCTGAACAAACTTTTTGGCCAACCCAATACATGGATGAATACTCATCCCATAGAGGAACCCATCAAGGATGAAACAGTAGAGTTGAAACGGACCCTGGAAAGCTGTTTTCTACTTGCTCACTTGGCAGATGGTGAGACTGACCCATAGAAATCCATCCAGTGTTTGCTGGTATACTTTCCTCTGCACGGTAGTATGGATACATTCTGGCCCAGCCCAAGACCTGCGGTACTGTCCCTAGTAATTCAGGCTTTCCTCCTACTTTCTCTAATGCCAAGGCAGAGCTTGATTTTTTGCAAATGAGGGCTTTAATATCTCAAAGTTCTGCTGAGATGTCGACTGGTGCTCAATTGTCACGTCATCCTTCGTAAGAAGTACACCTTCTCTGAGTTCACATGGCTGACCCTAGTCTTTCCCTTGAGTGCACACATCTGGGCAGTGCATGGACATTTGTTTTTTAATGAAGGAAGTTTAAATGCCCCTTCTCTTTCCTCTCCTCTATAAATCATATATCAATACTTAGGGAGAAGCTTCTTTTCTCAAGATTTTAAGGGATACCTTTGTGGTAGATGAATTCGTGGCTGATTTCTGCCACTTAGCACTCCTTGAATTTTTCAGAAGGTTCTCTGGAAATTTACTCACGCTTCAGCCCTTATTCTGACAGTTTGAATAAACCATCTGATATGGCATATTACTCATCATCTTTATATGTTTATAATAATAGAAAATGTGTCAATTGAAAAAAAAATTTTGCTTCTTTTCAGTAAGTCCTCATCAGAGAATCAAGTTGTATCTCATAATCGATACTAGTTTTGGAAGCAGGCCCTAGAATCTCATTTTTACAGGACTTCCTAGTCATTTCTCAAGAAAACACTAGGCTCCATCTTCCCATTCCTTCTGCACCTGGGCCTTTGGAGCCATTAAATAATAAAGTCAAATGCCCATGATTTGGACTGGTGATAATCCTGTGATTTTCACCTTTCCCACATCATTTCTGTCTCTTTGGCAGAACTGAGCAGATCCTCAACCCACGACTCCCACACGGATGTGTGTGGCCATCCATTAATCTTTATTGAACACTCACTGCCAGCATAGCCCTGCACCAGGCTCATCTGAGGCAGATAAATATTTAGTCATGAGAATGATTTTCAAATCCAGCAACACTTCAGCAGAAATAGCATTTCTTGTAACAGTGGGGAAAAAAATATAATGAATTCACAAACCCAAGGGCTAGCTAAAGAAATAGACATTAAAATGTAAAAAATAATAATAATAATAATTGGGGCTGGATGAGCTGTTGATCTTTAATTTCTGGGTCTTCATATTGTATTTCAGGACACACACTCCTCTGAAGAATTGGAGGTTTCCAGCCAGATAGAGTCTGCTCCAAGTTACATAGGGAAGCTCCAGAAACAGAAAGGTCTTAACATGAATCTTGTGCTGTGCTCAGTCACTTCAGTCGTGTCCCACTGTTTGCAACCCTGTGGACTATAGCCCATCATGCTCCTTTGTCCATAGAATTTTCCAGGTAAGAATACTGGAGCAGGCTGCCATTTCTTACTCCCGGGGATCTTCCCGACCCAGGGATCGAACCCACGTCTTCTGCACTGGCAGGCAGATTCTTTACCACTGAGCCACCTGGGAAGCCCAATTTGAATCTTAGCTTCCTCATTTAGTAGCTAGGGAAGTTACTTGTAATCTTCCTGAGGCTTAATTTCCTTTTCTATGAAATACCTAAATCAGAATTGTGGTGAAGATAGAGTTAACATATCTAATTACAATGATACTCAATGCCCAGTGAGAAGCCATTAAATGTCAATTTTTATCTTAGTATTGGATTGACCAGAAAGTTCATCTGGGTTTTTCTGTTTCATCTTAGGGGAAAACCCAAATGAACATTTTGGCCAACCCAATATATTGTAGGTCTACTGAGGAGTGTGTGTATGTCTATGAATTGGAATGTAGAATACAAGGCTCTCAAGGGAGTTAAAGCTAAAGAACCACACTTCAGAAGAATTGTATCCAACAAGCAATGAGTAATACAGACTTAGATAAAATGAGAAAGAATACAGAAGTTGTCGAGGAGAGCAGCCTTCTATAATATAAAACAAAGCAAGACAAAACTCAAAACAAGCATCACTTTACTCTTCAAAGGAAGAAAAAACCTCATAGCAGTTTGAATTCACTGCAGTTTGCCAGGCCAAGTTTTTACATTTAAAACCTAGGACTTCCCAAGGTGGCTCCAGTGGTAAAGAACCTGCCTGCCAGTGCAGGAGACCTAAGAGATGCAGATTCGATTTCTGGGTCAGGAAGATTCCCTGGAGGAGGGCATGGAAATCCATTCCAGTATTCTTGCCTGGAGAATTCCATGGGCAGAGGAGCCTGGCGGATTATGGTCTAGAGAGTTGCAAAAGAGTCAGGCATGACTGAAGGGACTTAGCCCAGCACAAAACAGCAAGGAAGCATCAGAATATGCTTTTTGTCCCCTGGAAAGTTCTCCAAATCTGAAGTAGCAAGTGTATTTAAAAATCACTGAGGTAGTTATTTAGGACCTGAGCCTCTGGATGGTGACTCTCAACAATGCAGACAAACCAGAGAGGGCAGCTTTGAACAGCCAGCCAGAAGAGCCATCCCTCTGCTGCAGACCTAAATCAGAACCACATGCAGGGGAGGATTTCCAGCACTCACCCTCCATAGAAGATAGTGAGCTGAACAGCTAGCCTGGCAGATCTGCTATCAGGAAATGATCGAACGAAGATCATAACTAGCACATTATGTAAGACTCTGTTACAATACATGGTTTCAAGTCGGTCTTCTTGCTCTGTCCGTCTAGAGAAGGATGAAGTCTCTAGTATGGATATGATATTTTCTACTTGCTTGCCAT